TACACGACAGGTTTACATTATGCATAATGAAAACGGTTTAAGGACTGTACACCATGTTCTAGTTGCACTGCTACAACTGTGTGCAAGGCAAGGCTGTAAACCAGATTATTGAGGTTGTGACCACTGGAAGAAAAACTAAACAGAAAATTAATCACGAAAACCACGTAGTAAACTAATTAACCCTTTTCTGGAGTAATTTGTGACTGTATTATTTTGAAAAGTCAGCTTACAATGCATCATGATGAACCCTTCTAATAGGACAGCTGAGAGAGCTGCATATTTTGGTGTCAAGGACACGAGCAACTGGCCAGAGGCAGCAAAAACTTCAGAAGCCAGTTTTGCATTTGAATCCACTATACTTTGTAACTAATGTTCCCAAATAAAACTAATTACTAGAGTCAAGTTTATCAGAGTTGTTGCTTTTTTATCTTCAAATAAAAGTTGCCAGGGCCTACCATATCCACAAGATAATCTGCTTTTTTCCTTCTTTCTTTTAAATCATGGCATTAGTTGAAAAAAATATATAGATACTAAAGCTAGAGTTTAAAACTACTATGCTAAATCACTTTCTCCTCAAACTGCTACAAATATACAAATTAAACAAAATTCAGATGGAACTTGAAGTTCTCAGCAGTTTTGACAAGTCAGAATCTGAAAATCTGGCTCTCAGTACATATACATAGGGCACCAACAAGGTCTTAGCTTTACACCCACCCACAAAGAAGAAGCAAGAGACTAAAATAAGGAAATTACTGCATATATTCAAGATGGATAAGTATCTCATAAAACTATGCAAGGAAAATCATTAACAATAGAGCCATCTGCTGTATTTTCAAAAAAACTACACCAGCAAAAAAATCTGAAAATGTTAAAATACTTTACAGCCTGAATTTTTCACTACTCCATATTACAAGAAATGATCTCAATGATTAGTCCATCACCTTAAATAACAGGAAATGTGTACTTCTTACACCTCTTCTAATTAAAAGCAGTATTTACTAGCATAATACTGATCCTCTGTACCTAAAGATACTAACTGACATTGTAGCTGAGCATGTAAACAGCCCAAAATGAATCTCATTCCATTTGAAGTAACTAAGCATAGTGTTATGCAAGGAGACAATGAGGTCAGCAGCAAGTAGAATATTTATTTAAATACTGACAAGATACTTGGATGACTTTTTTCTTGCTCTAAAATAAGAAGAATTACTAGGTCTGAAGAGTTTACAGAAGAAAAAAAAAATCACAAAAATGAGAAGTTTAGAAGACAGACTAACCCAAGTGGTTCTTAGTATATCTTTACACTTCTTCATCAATATACTTGAAGAACCCTCTTTCAAGCACAGTGGAAGAAACAGGTGTCTAGAACAGAGTTCAAAACTTTATCTGCAAGTTCTGGGTTTTGCATGTTAAAGATGGCATTAAAGGACAGCCCTAAAATCCTGGTTAAACTAGGGAAAATTGTACCAGTGCAAATTGTACCCAAGGCTGCAAAGAGGTCATCCTGCTGTAAATCTGGGCTCAAGCAGGCGCTTTGCTATGTTCAGTCTGTGATGGCTACAGCTATGCAAAAAAGTAATACCTACAAGCTGCCTGTAGCCCCTCCAAACTGTATCCTGCTCATGGGAATGTACTTCTTAGCTGAAAGGTTCAGAGTAAAAGACAGACAGACCCATAAACATCAGGTGAGAGGTAATCAAGTTTTCAAAGAGAAGTGGCAATTAGTTGTCAGCAGTGAGTGCCACTGCTTTCAAGTGTGCCAGTTAAAACCAGTTAGACCATCATAGTGCTGGCTGGGGTGCATGATGTTCTCTTCACTGCATTTTCAGGACAGGTAGTCTCCTGAACTGTAGCCTGATAGAGGTGGTTAGAAGAAGTGATTGTAAACAAGAAGCAAGAGCTGTCTGCATGAATCTTCACAGGGAAATTCCCCCTCAACTTAAAAGAAGGTTATGACCATCCACCTACACCGCATCTGTAGCTCACCACAACTGCCTGAATAATAAGTGTATCTGCCCCAAATGTATGTCCTTATCAAACGCACCAAGGACCAGACATGTGACAACAACTATTACTTGTTCCAACAAATTTTGTCATTTAGCAGTTTTAAGTGTTATTTACCATTTCATTAAGTTTTTGTAGGTTACACAAAACAAGTGACACTTCATTACTGCACCTGCAACTTCAGTAATTGCTGCAGAATAGTTTTTTCCTACTAGTGGCAAAACTAAACTTCCACAACCGGAACTTTTTAAGCTTCATAAATAATAAAGCAAAGACATTCTTAAGCTTAAAAAAGAAACCCACATATATTTACCTGCCATCATAGCTATCATACTGGCTTTGTAGACATTAGCAAGGGACCCCAGTTCACCTGTTGCCAAGATTGTTTTCATATGAGCTTCTCCACAGGCCTCACGGCACTGACGGATCTCCTCGTAGAGACCTGGGGATAAAAGCAAGTGAAAATGATCAAAGTTGCCTGAGAGACGTTTTCAAGTATGGCTGTAATTTCCACTTCTGGATTAATTTCCAATCTTATAATTAGTCATAGCACTCAAGAACTTAAGTTTTGTAAGTTCAATAAATTACATGACTGGAGGTAATTAACAATGCCACACGGTTTCAGACTTAACTTAATAGCTATTAATGTCATTTCTCTCAAAATTAAGAATGTGCAGAGTATGGCAAACACTCATGAATACATCAGGAGTAAAAAATGCTCTGACAGTCAAGATTGATTTTAAAACAGCTTTTTCAGCAATAAATATGGTAGTACAATTACATTTTCCTGTCCACATCACATCATCACCCCCTCCGTCCCCTTCAGCCACATCTGCCAAAGGGCTCTGCCTAAAAGATACCAAAGGTGTGACCAAGTTGTCTAAAATCAATGTGGTCTGCTAACATCCCTGATGAGGAAAGACCGAGGCCTGGAATCGCACTTCAAGGATCAGCAAATTCACATGGATTTGTGTTTACAAACCACCTCCAGTAGTTGTATTGCCCACAAGGTCACCAAGGACTTGGACCATGCTGTGGCATGAGCTCAGATGGCCCTTGCAAAGAAGAAGGAAGCACGATGGCAGAAGGGCCAGCAGGACAACATCTGCCTGGCGTGCTGTGGAGCTACAGCTCCAAGGGCAGAGCTGTAACCTCGCTTCTGATGCCCTTGCTCACTGAGGAAGCCAGCTGGGGTTCAGGAAGCAGGTTTGTCATGGGCCACTGTGATACACAGAAGAACTGCCACTGCCATGGACACAGAAAGCAGGACTGATGTGTAGAAAACCTTTGGAGATAAAGCAGACCATTATCTCTGTATCTTCACATCACTTGGGGAAAAGAAGCAAACCCTCCCACCTCACAAAGAGCTCCAGGCCTTTGGAACGCCTCCTCCTATCAGTCTGTCTTCTGACCTACAGCCCACCTCAGGTCTCCTCTCCCAGCAGCCAGCATGTCCCCAAGGCAAACCCCACAGGTCCCCTCTGCACCCCGCTCCCGGGGCAGTGCCGCTCAGTCAGCTGGCCACTGACTGCAGCCAGGGAGAGGCAGAGACCAGCAGGACAGGGCAGCACTTAGCTGTTCGTGGACGTTGTCAGTGCAAACCAGCCCCTCACAAGCTCCTGCCTTCAGATTTGTGAAGTGTAATGGCCAGAGGCATGTTTAACTTTTCAACAGTTTTAGATGTTCACAGGCTCAGTAAGGACTGGAATAAATGTGGTATACATAACCAACAGAAAAAAGGGTAGCACTTGTACACCTGACCAGGTAACACAACACAGGGAAACCCTCCCACCCTTTTTGGTACAATTCAGCAGGCCTCCCACAAAATTCTGAACAAAGGGAGACAAAAGAGCTAGGAATTATAAAAACAGCTGTTAGAAGCTGGCCACTTGAGAATGTTTAAGACTCCTCCAGTGTGGAGAGAAACGCAGCTCTTACAGTGTACAGCCAACGGTTTTGGAATTTTAATGTAAAAAAAAAACCAAAAACAAAAACAAAACCCACAAAATAAATAAATAAATAAACAGAATCCTTTGCAAAAGAGTCCTTTTCACAAACTGTACTCAATCTCCAAACACATAATCAAAAAATTCTTCCATGGAAGGCTAAAATACAGCTTTTAACAAATCTTTCTTGCTAAAAACGTCCAGGATATGGCTACAAAGACTAGATTTTTTCAGCAGTACTAGCTTTCTTTTCCCCACAGTCCTCAAATAAGACCTGGAAACATAAAGTAGGATTTGACAGCTGCTGTGTGGCTGGACCTGTGATGCTCCTGCATCCTACTGATGCCATTGGCACACCAGGCGGCCAGGGCTGGGATTGCTGGGGTGGTCCTCTGAGATTTACTACACACCTTAGTAGGTAACTGGCTAATGCACTTAGCAAGTCCCTTTATAGACACCAGGCTTCACCTTGTTTCTTGCTGTGTACCAAAGGTGTGAATTAATCAGTACTAGCATGCAGTCTAACATGTTTTATTGATCAATTGATGATACTCCAGAAACCTACATCAAATTGAGCCTCAAAAAGAAAATACAAAGAACCTGTGCTATTTTCTTGTGCATTTGATAACACTGCTCGTGTTAGATCCAAATGCAGTCTCTTTTTGTGGAGTGACTCTTCCCTGAAGCTTTTGGAAAGCCAGAGAAAGCAGCTTTCATGTTCTTCTAGTTTCGGTAACAAGAAGAAAAGACTGGAGTTTTCTCTACCTTCAAGATATGCCACCAAAAATGTCAAAATACAATCAACAAAATGTACATTTAGGTTGGATTCCATGAAAAGAAATTATATCCTCATAGCTGTTGCACACTGGAGTTACTACTGCACCTACAGCATCTCCCTATTGTTGGAAGGTACTTTTATACACAATTAGTGTCAAGATCATTTGAACAGTCTCAGTATCTGACAGCACACATCAACCCCCAGACAGGAACAACTGAGGATCTTCAATCATCTGTGTCTGTCAGGTTAACTGAGGTGATGGAAAGTGGGCATACTTCAATGGGGCAGGTGTGTAGGTACTAAATACTGCTCTTTATTCAGAGACCAATTATTGCAGACAATAGCTGACATTCAGAGGTCATTCTCAACCCTACTGTAAAAGCACAAATAGAAATGCCACTAACTCTAGGACAGAGAACATTAACCAGATCACACCAGCCTCAGTGCAAGCAGGAATTGCTCTGACACAGAAAAACTGCCAAAACTCCTACTCCTTTCAAAAATATAAAAGAAGCTTCAGTACTTAGGTTTAAAACAAGTCACAAATAACTTGATTATGCTGAAAATTCCTGCCAAATGTCTAAAGTGTGGGTAGAGTTCACCACACTTGAAAATACACTCAGGGTTTCAAGGGTTCCTGGGCTTCCTCTGAGACAGTCTGTGCTGCTAAAAAGTCCATCACTTAACTACTCAGTTCTGCAAAGCCAACTGGTAGCAGAGGCAGATTTAGATGCCGTGGTTCTTGGAATATCTGTGACCTGTGCAGATCACCAGTAAGTGACACAGCAGATAGAGCTTCCCCAGTTAGCAGTAGAGACACAAAGATTTCAGGAAAAACCACTATCATAGAAAACCCTGCAGGAATATTTTCAATTGTGAGCTAAGACCACCATTAAGAGGTTGCAAGTGACTCTCCTTCTGACTGCTAAAATCAAGGACGAGAAAATCAAGAGCTCTCAAAGCAAATGGCCAGGACTGTGTAGCATCTTGAACACAGAACTAACACGATTCTAAAGATGACTTTGTCCTAAGCCAAGGGGAGAAAAAATAAGAGGGGTGGGGGAGAGGGAGTGATAAACATACCAAAAAAAAAAATAAAACACAAAAACCAAAGCCTAGACAAAATATATTCAGAGCCAAATGCTCACTGATGAAATCTGTAGTAGCTCCACTGACTTAGTTAGCTCCTAAAACAGATGTGACATCTTTGCATTCACTTATTTAAGGTACCTTACTGCTTTCATAAACTTTAGATCTGCTACTATCGGATGCATTTATAGAAGTAAAAAAAAATAAGATTTTATAGGAATAAAAAAATACTATCATGAACGTGGTTTTAATTTTGCTGTTATAAAAGGTAAGTGTTGGCAGGTGTCTTTTTTGGAGTTTACCTCAAATTCTCTCCAGTACCTTTTATTGATTCTTAGCAGCTATTAAACACACCAAAGAAAATATTCCTCCCCTACACATTCCTCAAGCAAATATCTCTGATAATTACTGCTGGCTATCATCTGCCCTATATTGTCTAGATGGTCTTTTGCTTTGGTCTGATATATTTGCCCTAAAGATCATAAAATAAAGGGGATAATCCAGATCTCCTACACAGTAAATGAAAATATTAAAGTGAAAAAACCTGCTTAAATTTTTAAGAAACAGCTCTTCTCCAAAAATGTGATGATACAAACACTTTTTCTTTTTTTAAGAAATTCAGTTTATTTGCTGTTTCCATCTAGTCAGTCACATTGACTGATGTTAAGGGTAGAAACTGAGATGAGGACAGAAGACGTTTCGATTTCTGTTAGACCAAAAGATCAAGGTAATCATGATGGGAAACTGGAAAATGAGCTGGAGTCCCTTCTGTCTTGCATGTTAATGGCAGGTTTGTTAACAAAATGACAAGCACAAGGCTATCAGCACAACACAACTCTCTCAGTTCTGCTCTCAGCCACATATGTGCAACTCCAACCACCAGTGAATCACATGAAACTGAAAGCAGAGCTTGGCTTCAGGAGTCTGAGTTACTGCTGACAATATAAGACAGAAATTGTGCAACTGGATTTGAAGATCCCAGCTTGCACATCCAGAAAATGGTAACACCAGCTATAAAATTTCTGCACATGTGGAGTCTTTTCCAGGCCTCTGGAGGGGGGAGTGTATTCTTTCTGTGCTGTTTATAAAGTATATGGCACAAATGGGGGCCAGTCCCTGAACAAAACCTCTAAAGTAACAGTTGAATAATTATTAACAGAATTGAAAGGCAGCTTTTATAATCAGGTTATACCTAACATATTTCATGGATGCAGCCATGTTCAAACTTCTCAGAGCATACTTGTTTGGGGTTTTTTTTCTCCTTTTCTTATAGGAAAATTCAACTGACAGAGCAAATGAGGAGTTAACAATACTTTTGAAGCCAATGACAGTGGAGTATGTCCAGGTGTTTGCTAAAACTGTGGAACTAGAAGTAACAGTACAGCACCCTAGGCAGCTTCAGAAGGTCCAGCAACTCAAATATATTCATTGATAACTGTGGGGGAAAAAATAATTAAAAATCCAGTTTCTTCCAACAATTTGTCAGTTAAGTTCATCATTCTTTACACACAGGTCCCACCTTCTGTGCCTAAAGACAGTATCTACATTGTGATTTTTAGGCTTAATCCATACTTTGTCAAGTGATGCAAGACAACGGTTGAAAATAGTAAACTATATAAAGTAGTACTGCTTTAAAACCTAATAGGTTGTAAAAGTTATATAAGTTAATAAACTTAAATATCATTTAATGTTATTTTCCAAAATAATTTAGCTGTCCAATAAGGCTACTTTAATGTTCAGCACTATTAAAAAGATCTTAACAATTACATCATAAAGATCTAGGAAATATATTCTGAGTGTCAAAAATATTTAAGACCTGCTTTAAAATAACTTGATGTAATTGGATATGCACTATAACATTTAATAACCAAACAAGCCTTTGAAACAAACCACAAACCAACACTATTCTAGCATGGTGACCCCAATTATTGCACAGGCTAGAAGAAAAGCTAAAACTATATTAATAGTAAGATGAAGCACTGTACAACATGCATATTTTTGTCACTAACTCCTGAAGCTGTGAAGGCAGGCAGCATGAGAAAATAACAATAAAAATATATTAGTGTTATAAGCATAAGCAGAGGTTCTATCATAACTGTGAGGCAGTTCTGTTTGATGAAGCACCTTGAACATGGGCTTACTTACTGCACTAGACTTTTCAATTTTATTTAATATAGGGATCCACCCTAAAAAAGGCTTCTTCATCTCTTCTTCTAGGTTCCTTAAACGTACTTCATAGACTGTTGTGCATCATATCTAATCATTAGATAGAGGTGGAAACCTGCAGGTTCACAGAGGTCACATACATCTATTGAAAGCTAAACAGAAAGTCAGAACATTGGACTTTCACCAAAATAGTCAGAACACCTACAGAAGTAATTTTTTTTTTTTGTATGGGCAAGTTAAATACTATAATTTTTCAACCTGCAGCATCAATATCTGGATGGCAAGTAAATTCTGTTCCTGAGGTAGCTTTTTTCAAGATCATGTAGCTATGTGCCATCCACTAACTTAGCTCACTTTGTATCCAAGACCAACATACGCTCCCAGCAGAGCACAGCTCTTGGCAGGGGTACCTGCTTTGTAGACTACAGTGTAGACCCTAACAAAGACACAGGGCAGGAAGGTGTGCATAGAGTCCTGCTGCCAGCTGGTACAGAACTTGATCCATCATTCTATCTCATTTAAAACCACTCAATCACCCAGTCTCCATATTCCAGCAATTTCTGATGCCATACCTGAACTTAAAATAGCCGCTCTGAAGGGAACAAATGTCTGCAACAATGCCTACACTAAAGAAGTCAAACATGTAAAGCTCCAAATATTTAGGAGCAAAAGGATTGAGATGGTAGATACTGCAAAAGAGGTCAAGATGTTACAGGAAGTGGAAACCAGGATCTCAGTCCTGAAGACACAGATGCAGAAACATGATGGGTTTTTTGTTCAACTCTAGCTGCTAATTGAAGGAAGGCCATAACCAGAATATATGATCTGTTACCATGATGACTCTATTTCCTTAACCAAACTCAAGTGCTAAGGGTCCTTTATGAAGTCTTCCAAGTAAACAAGTTATTACAGCCCTGCATTATACAACTAAAACTGAAAATTCAGTGCAGGACAATGATGTGTTTACCTTCACATGGAGATTAGTTACAGAAGCATTGTCAGCACTTAAGGCAAACCATTTACAGTACATTAAGGATGCAATTAGAGCAAAAACCATCTTCAGCATTATTGTTCTTACTAATTAGTAGCAGTCTACAGACACGGGAGCATCAATAATAATATGAACAGTCAATTTGTACCCACAACTTTTAGGAAAAAGAAAACAACTGAAATACATATTTTTGTCAAGAATTTAAACATGCATATTTAACAAGGTATCATCTACGTTAGCAGCCCCTTGGGGGTTTTAACAAAACTGTTCAAATAATTAGGCATTCGCATCCATTTCTCTTGCTATCTTTTTAATCCTGTACACAATTCTCTAAAGGCATAGAAGGAATAGACCCAAATTTTAAAAGGACAATCATTCTGCATGCTCAGCCTGACAAGACTTTGTAACAGCATCTTTTTTATTTTTTATTTTTTTTAAAAAAGGCAATCATTCATCATAAATCAGTTAAATAGTTTTTTATTTAGTCCAGTGCCCCAGATTAACAGATACTCTTAGGGGAAGGACCAAATTCTTGAAGTACTGATGTAGAGACTTGAGAAAGAGACAAAGACAGCTTGCATGTGCATATAAATTCAGTTTAGGTTCCTTGCCAAAGGGTGAGTACTTACCTTCCCACTGGCCAGTCAGCACCAGACTCCTGCTAATGACAATGTCAATCTCTCTGGCACCATATTCCACAGCTAGCTTTATTTCAGCCAGTTTGGTTTGTAGAGGAGTTTGCCCAGATGGAAACCCAGCAGCCACTAGCAAGAAGGATGCAGGTAGAAGGAAGAAAATGTTTTATAAATTGACCATGAAATTGCATATAATTACCTGTAATGCATGAAAGAGTCTCTTATTTTTTTTTATCCATACAATGATCCAAAATATCTAAAGGTACCTCATCTTACCCTCTCTTCATCCACAAGAATTAGCTCTTCCCTTAAGAACCAATGTCCAACAAGATACTAACTGCATCTTGTGAAAAGGTCTTTCACATGCCTTAAATTTTTCCAAAGCAGTCTACATAGGAAGGCACAATAGCTATTGTTTCCAGCAGAACTGAGCAAACAAGGAGTGAACTCATATGAAACAATGAATAAATTTTTAATTCTCCCCAATTCTTTTCAGTAGCATTCCAAGTTAAATCCTGGTAGTATGTGTAACAGCTAAATCACAACAAATCAAAAATTGCTTTCAATGAGGTCTACTTAAGGTTATGTTTATGATGTTTAAATACAAATTCAGAGGTAACTTTGGAAATCGAAAAAATAATTACTTTGTCAGAGATTCTCTTTCTTTCTGACATATAAATGCATGTAGGATGTTTTTTCCCCTACACAACAATGAAACTACAACAGACGACCAACAAACACAGATCTTAGCATTAAACACCTGACCTAACTTCAAAGTCAGCCCCTGCTTTGAGCAGGAGGTTGGACCAGATGTCATCCAGTGCTCCTTTCCAACCTGCAAAATTCTTTGATTCTACTTGTTGCTTATTGTAGATTCAGGACTTGTCTCTCATGTGTGGTGACTGGAGAAGAGCCGGCACTGTTAGATTCCAGGTCCAACTCCTGAACCTGTGGGCTGCTCAGCAGACAACAACCCTAGCCTCCACACACAGCTTCACTGAATTCAGTTTGTAGGATTATACTTAAAACCAAACAACTCATGGGGACAGAGGGGGGACAGAAATTGTATTAGAACTCCTAAAGCTCATATTGTAGTATTATTATTGTTATTACCTACTTAGTCTCTACTGATACTTTGTCAACACACTATCTCAACAACCTCTGTTCAGGTGAGGAAAACACTGATATATCTTAAGGACCTCTTTGAAGATCTTCCAGCAAAACAGACTTGGCATTCTTGATATGCTTGAAGTTGAAAGAAAAGATTATACCAGAAGCAAATCCTTCCCTCCATTCCTTTCCTTCCACCTGCTACTTTTTCATCTTACTCTCTGACACAAAAGTAAGTCCAAACTTCTGGATTTTTCTACATATTTTATAGCAACAAAATATTTAATTGGATAGTTTTGAATAAAGCTTACCTGAAGCTACTGGTATGTTACAACCAGCAGCCTTTAGAGCATTAACAGCATCAGTGACTCTTGCAGGATATACACAAACTGCTCCGACAGTAATACCTGCAAAAGCCACAGTTCACTTTTTCATATATAGATTTCCACCTTCTCAAGTGCAATCCACAATATGAACACATATGCATTGTCCTCACCTCCCACTTCTGCAATCTCACAAGGACCTGAAGTACCTACACTAGGGATGTCTTTTATACTGCTCAAACACTTCAGTTAATTCTCCATATTGTTACCTCCCTCGTGTTCCTTCAGCTGACCCTGGAAGCAAGTTTGCATTAGGAGGCGTTAAAATTCCAAGATTTTTATTGACAGATTCACTGTTTAATGTCAATACATACAGTTAAGACATGCTTAGTTAGCAAATTACTGCAAGAGAAACTACTCAGTTCTTACTTGTTGAGCCAGACTAAGCCCAGTAGCAACTGAGCAGTCTTTATGTTAACACAGTCCTACTGCATTTCTAGTTAAAAATGCTATTCTCACAAAGTCTCAGATAATTGACCTCATACTTAATACTTCAACTGTCTGAAGAGTCCATAAATCCAAGTTATAAAAAAAGAATAGTCTTTGATATTTTATGTGTATTGTTTTAAACCAGAGAGGCCTGATTCCCCTTTTGTTCTGCATCATGTGACTTCAGCTAGTGGGCCAACATCCCTGTGAAACTGAAATGCTTCAATAGTAAAAGCATGCCCCAAATGTTGCTGGGATTTTATTTTTGTTAGATCATCTTAAGGCCAACATGATAGGACAAAAGTCAAATGGTATTCACTGACAGAACAGTGATTATATCTGGAAAAAAAAACATAAATGCTGCTCAGACATAAAGAACTTTACTGATAGTTATACTGACTGTCTCAATTTGCTCTGAAGTTTTATCGTGTTTAGTCTTGGGTGTAACACTGGGACTTAGAAGGAGCCTGCTTGAGTAATATCAGTGAAAGTTTTACCACAAGTTCTTAAGGGCTGTCTTCTGCCCCATCAACTCTGTCGACTTAGCTGAGAGCTCTGTGTGTGTGTATATGTGATACACACACAACCACATACACCCACTACAGGACAGATTCCTTGAACTAGACTGGGCTGCAGAGATGTATCCTGGCAACTACTGAAACAAGTAAGTAACAGGTAATGTTTTCTGAAGGAAAATAACATGCTGAGGACTGTGGAATGCATCTTTTCTGACAGGCAAAGCAGCAGGCTCGGTACTTACAGAAACACCAGCTAAGTTTGAAATCCAAAGGAGTCACATGAACACTCCCCCTTCATCGGTTTGCTAAGGACATCAGCAGGTTAACAGAATACTCAATTAGTGTCACCTTAGTGCACTGTTATTAAAAGACATACATTGAGGTTACACACTTGTGGCTTCCAGATCAAATTTGCTCATTAGGTGTCATAACTTACAGTGCTCTAAGTCCATCCTTCACTTTGGTTGCCAAACTGAGAGTGGATTTTTTTTCTCCTTGTATTCTTATATTAACTCAAAGGAATAGATACTTTGCAGTTAGAACTTGAAACAGTTGTTTTGAATAAGATCGTATATGACCTGGTTTGTTCTCTCAGGACTATTAGTTCTGTAGCACTACCTAACATAACTGCTTCTATTTTAGGAAGAAGAGGCCATTTTTACAACTTTCTGAAAATTGAAAAAATGAGGAAATTTAGACATTTTCTTTACCAATACACACAACAAAAACTATCATACCTTTATCATGCATATCCAAGGCTTTCAGCAGATCTTCTCTGATGGGATGTTTTGCTTTAAAACAGAGTCTGTGAACATTTGAAGGAGTATCATCACCTGAAAGAGTGGTAAGGTCTATGCAGGTGACAGCTTTCAGCAGCCAAGCAGCCTACAAAGGGAGTGAAGCAAGTGTTTCAGTTTACATTTCCAAAGTCAAACTGACTGAGAAGATTTAAGAATCAGAAGCCTCGCTCTCACTCTAAGAATAAGGAAATGTGTGGGATACAACATGGAGGACAGACAAAGAATGTTTTTTGACATACAGGGCTGGCAGATATTTGTTCATGTCTTCAGCAGCATCTAATGGTACAGAAAGAATTTGGAATCAAAAGTCTGCTCTCTCAGAATCAAAATATCAAATTCCATTTTTTAGTGCAAAAGCTAACTACCAAATGGGACTCTGTAAAAGTCAGACAAACATTTTTTCCTGTACAAAAAACATCCTGTTTCAAATTTAATTCTGTAAGACAAAGATAAAAACACCACCTATGTGAGGAACCTCACTGTTACAATACACTCCACTCTATACAATATGTCTGTATCTTTAAGGCTTATAGGCACAAGAAATTACACACATGCTTCAAGAGGAGCACAGGTTTGCAATTGCCAGTAACCAGATGAGTCTACACATCAGCAATTTGCACACTTGCACGCTTCTCCTGCTGTGAGAGTGAAACATGGAATCAGTGGGAAGTAAGGACCCAGACTTCTTAAAACTTAAGGTCTAGACTCCAGATGTTTCCGCTTTCTTGTGTGAATCAAGAATAAAAACCATCTGTAATTATTTCATGAAAAAAACAAAAGGTAACTGACAAGGCTAAAGCACTCTTTAGATGAAAATGCTACAGAATTTTAAGAGACATAAATCAAAGAATGGAACAGAAGCACAACAAAAGAATTTTTGAGCTTTTTTTGTGGAACAAAAATGGAGCTTAAGATATTATTTTTAAATATTTGTTGAAGGTCTTTCAGCAAATTGTCATTTACAGTGATGGCTTCAGTAAGAGCTGACATCTTGTAATGGGCACTTGTTCAACGAGGAGAGAGTTTGCCATGGCAAAGTCCATCTGAGTCCATAAAGTCTTTACCTGACTGCTCTGCTCTGTGGCACAATTTGTCAGTATAGTCAGCCCAAGTTGTCCCTGCATGGAGGTGTTACTTCTGCAGAGCTTAAGTGGCTGACCAGCCTACAAACCTTTCACACTTTGCTGATGGAAGTCTCCTTTCTGAACTTGCAGTAAATGTTACACTGAAAGCTGCTTTGGGGTGACTGAACAGAGTAATGAACCATTACTGGCCTCTGTTAGTCTAAAATTGACTGCTTGTTTCTAACAGATTTCCACTGTCACCCTATAATACATAATCAGGGTTTTTCACTTTAAATGGTTTTAAGTTTCTTTTACTTGGATTTTTTTTAATCCTTTGTTCAAGGTCATTTTTGTCTCATCTATCTGACATGAATCACAAAGTCATCAAGATAGATATACCCAGGGTGTTCCAAGAACTGGTATGAACGTAATTTTTCTAAAAAGGGTTTTTCAAATGTGTATTTTGGGAATTGGGCCTCAAAATTTGAATCTGTGCTGCTACTTACATTCAAACATGTAAAGGTTCAAAATCATCTCTGGGAAATAAAAAGCACATGACTATCGTGCAATGAGTGTTCAAATACAGAAGAGGTGCTCCTAGCATTCTTCAAAGTAAAATCTTACTGAAGTAGCTAAGTACCACTGTTACTACACAGAAAAGTGGAGAAGTGTTAGTAATAATTAAACATTTGTCCTACAGCCGTGTTGAGGGAGTGACACTAAAATCCTTTCTTCCCAACAATTCTTTGTAATCTAAGCCTGTACCTCTCTATGCCTTTGTTCTTTATACTGTAAATTCAGTTGACTCAGAAGACTTACTGTGTACATTTCTGCACCTGCAGTGTCTGAAGATAGCCAAGGTTATGGAATACCCTCTGGATTTTCTCACTGACTCTATCTCCCAACCCAGCGTCACCAGCGTGCTAAACTTGCTATCAAGTGACTTTTTATGCATCAGAAACTCTTCAGAAACACTGAGCTGGTGTCTAACTTTTCACAGTTTATGTCCATTTTTTATTTAATCATAACACTCAAAGCACCAGCCTTTTTCTGTCACACTCCAGTAGGTTCTCATAACTATATCAAATTATCCCCAAACTGTGATCAGCCATCTTAGAATGGCTGCCCAACATGCTAAGCTCAGGAAGCCAGTTATTTTGAACAGTTTTTTTTTAAGAATTAAGTATAATTAAATGATTCTTGCTTTGTTCCATTATGTTGCACTGTTAAGACTGAACCTTCACTACCTCTTTCCTCCCTCTTGGAGGCTTTTGATTACTGTTGCAAGCAAATGACTGGTTTAGCCTGCACTGGCTTCAGTGATGGTTTACATGGTCCTATTTTATACTAAGATGGATGATAACTGATCATTTACCTTATCTCAAGAGCTGAGAAGTCAGTCCCCTTAACATTAATGGGGTCTTTTTCTTTTTTCTTCTCCCCCCATGCCCCTGCTTCTCTCCCTGAGTGCCACAGCCAGTCAGGATTTTTGAGTTTTAGGTAAGAAATAGTTAAGCAAAGAAATCACACATGTTGGGGATGCTTAAGTAAAGAAAAATCATCCAGGTAGGTCAAACTTGACAGGGACCATGATCATACCTTACAGCTTTAAATTAAAAAATAAGAAGGCAGCATGCAGACAAGTCTGTCTGGGAAACAGAATAAATGTGGTGGGATAGTAATATACAATTTAATCCACTCATGAATAAAGATGACTTAAATTCATTTGCGGTTTTGCCACTCATGAGTTATAAGGTTTTAAACTTGTTTGGATAAATGCGTCACCTTATTCCATCCCATCACCATCAAATACAAATTATTAAAATAAGACGTGGACAAGCTCATCTTTTAAGTTTACATGCATCTTGAAAAAAATTCAATATTGCAGCCTGGTGAAGGAGAGTGACTGCTTTAAAAGTACAGGAACAGAATGCATAAAAAGAGCACTTACTTGCCAATTACCTTTCACAGTTTTCCATTTTTTAATTTGTTCTGCATGCCTCACAACTGCAGGTCGATTCACATGTACTTTTGAGATCCAGCCAAGCTCTGGGGTGGGAAAAGAAAAAAAAAAAATCTCATCAATTTCCAAATCATAGAATGGTTTGGGTTGGAAGGGACCTTAAAGGTCACCTAGTTCCAACCCCCCAGCCAGGGGCACGGACACCTCACACTAGACCTGGTTCCACAAGGCCCCATCCAACCTGGTCTTGAACACCTGCAGTGATGGAGCATCAACAGCTCCCTAGACAAGCTGGTCCAGTGTCTCACCACCCTCGTAGTGAAGAACTTCTGCCTTATATCTAATCTAAATCTAACCTCTTGCAGTTTGAAGCCATTACCCCTCATTCTGTCACTACATGCCCTTGTAAAAAGTCCCGCCCCAGCTTTCTTGTAGGCTCCCTTCAGATACTGAAAGGCCACAATCAGGTCTCCCTGGAGCCTTCTCTTCACCAGGCTGAACAATCCCAACTCTCTCAGCCTGCCTTCATAGCAGAGGTGTTTCAGTCCTCTAATATACGGTGTGGGACTCCAGAAGAAAGTTGTAGCTTGTCTTGGAACCTCTGAAGAGTGTGTTATGTTTTCATGTCCTTTTAAGGGCTTACATACTTATCACCAGTCCAAAATATCATTATAGCAGTAACTTCTCTTAGAGTATGATCTGTGAGCTGGGTGTTTCACACAGCGTGTTTTGTTTACCATTACAATAGAACTAATGTACTCCTGATGAGAGACACTATGTTGCTAGTCCTGGACTATGAAGTTTATTACACATTGTTGTGGTTTGAGGCTTG